ATGTTGTGGATGTATTACAGCTACCATTGAATGCACAAGTTTATGAGCTCTTAACTCTTCTTATGGATTGGATCTCAGACCAACACCTTAGCAAAATAAAAATACAAGAAGAAAGAGAAGACACTCATAAATTTATGGCTACCCAGACCTCAAAAAAATCCTGCACCCAGGAAAGGTGTATGAAGGTAAAGGGGTTTGGATTGTTTGCTTGCGTTAATACGTTTTCAGATTTATGGGGGTTTTTAAATGATTTTGAGACTATAACAGATCAGCCTGTTTTATATATGCTTTGGATACAATCATTAAAACAAAATCACTGTTAATAAGTCAGTATTCATTCCAGCAGTGAGATATAATAGATAATTTATCATTTGTAAAGCATACAGATACTTTTTAAGGAAAAGTGTGGTGTTCAGTCTCAACTTGAGAGTTTCAGCATTTTATTTCAAGTCATTTCTGTCAGTTGATAATTTGTGTTGTGTTTTATGTGTAATACTGTACATAATTCCTTTTTCCTAAGGAGATGAACATGTCTAATTTAAAATAATTTTGTGCCTATATTAGATATTAAAGTTTCAATTTATGACTGATAAAAGGTGATACTATGCTATACTCATAACACTTTTATTTTTTTGTTTCTGGGGATACCAAGGTTTGGAAATTGGTGAGGTGTTCAGAAAATCTTTTACTGTTCTTCTTCATTATAGAATATGTAGATTTATAGCAATTGGGATTGGATTTACTGAGATTGAGCTCACATGATCTATCTCCACTTTTGTATGTAAACCTGTAAAATGTAAAATCTGTTACCTGTACTGGATCAGGCCAGTGAGTATTTGCATATGTAATCTCTTAAACTCCAGGAGAAAGTTGGGAGTTTTGGTTGGTTGGTTTTCACTTGTGGTTAGCTTATACAGTAGTTTCATATACTGCATGTAATTTTACTTTTGTATATTTTTACAGCTTTTGCCTATAGCTACTGAGCAACTCCAGTGGATGCCATTTGTGAATCCTAAACTACACATGCCTGTGATTAAATTTATTTACTGGTCTATAAGACAGCTAGACACTGGTATTCAGGTAAAACAAGTAGTCCTCTTGCAGTATGGTTTTTTAAAAACTAAATTCACAGAAGATATTAGTGAATTTTGGTTTTTAACTACATAGGAAAAGTGGATGTTTTAGGTAGTAGACATAAAAGAAACTCTGCTGTCTTTGCAAAGCATAAATTCATAGTGTTTACCACAGATAGATAGCAAATGAAAAAAAAATTCATTTTCAAGTTAATTTTAAACTTTGCATTGTGTATCTAAACACAGTTTTTCTAAGTATGTGTGAACTCTGTTGTGGTGTCTAAGCATCTCAGAAATTATATTTTTATATATGTATTTACAAAACTTTTGCACTAGAAAAGGCAATATTTTTAGGTTCACTTTATGCATGAGATTTGTTGAAATTGATGGAAGTGCTATAAGAAAATATTTAGCAGTATAATAAAGAAAAACACAGTAGCAATATTGTAAAGACTCAGTATAGTGCCTAGTGCTGTCAAGAGTGCTTTTGCTAAAGCAAAAGATAGGAAACTTTGTTGAGTTTGAATTCAATAGAATAGTAAGCTGTTCTTTTTAGTGCTAATAAGAAACTATATTTTAAATGAGCATATTGTGAAGTTTGATGCTGAAGTAATATTTCTGTATAGTTTATGATGAAAAGTCTAGTAGTTCTTACCTGTACGGTGTTCTTAAGCTTCATGTTTAGACCTTGATTCTGTAAACGCTTTTAGAGGATATAACTTCAGGCAACCTTACAAAGTAGAGTTGACTGAAGCTGAGCTTGTTCTGGAACCAGAGGAAACTTAAATAATGTCACCATATCAGAGGCCCTCACTAACTAGTCTCTTTGTGAAGTATGTCTTGATAAGGCATCGTGATAATGTTGTTTAACTGCTTTTGGGACACAAAGTAGTGTCTTATACAGATTATATTCCAATACATGGTCAAACGATTTGCTGATTAATATTCAGTTGCTAGGGGAACATAAGTATCTCTATATAGTACACAGGATTTCAGTGTGTTTTAATGTTTACACTAACTGTGTGCATTGTTTGAAACAGCATGCAACAATGACATCAACAATGAGGAGACTTGGTGAAGATATTTTCAAAGGCATAGTAAGTAAGGGAAACCCACATAGTTCTTCCGAACAGTCTACAGAGAGAAAATCAAAATCGGCAGCTTTCTTTAAGAGTTCCTGTATGCCTTTGAGGTTTCTGTCAACTTTAATTGTGCTTAAAACAGTGACACAAGGTAAGTTCTGATTTTTTTATATTCATTTCTTTATTTCAGTCATATGCCTGGGAAAAAAAACATTTCAGTGATACTGTAGAGTCTATTATGCTTTATTAGCGAAAAGTGTTTTTACTTGAGTTTTAATAACTTGTGAAATAAAATACACTGGAAGCAAGTATGAATCTTGCTATTACTCATTTCATGTTGGAATTTATGTGTTCCTTTTAATATGATGACTTCTTGTCAGACAAGTCAACATTTCTGAAGAAGGGGAAAAGAGATGTTGGTAATTCTGTCAAACTATCACTACAGCAGTGATTCGATTGCCAAGATCTTTACTGCATAGAATGGCACAGGTAGGTGCTCTTTATTGTGGTTTAACCCCAGCCAGCAACTAAGCACCACGCAGCTGCTCACTCACTCACCCCCCATACAGTGGGATGGGGGAGAGGATTGGGCAAAAAAGTATAATTTGTGGGTTGACATGAGAACAGTTTAATAGAACGAAAAGGAAGAAAATAATAATGACAATAATACAATTAAAAAATTACAAGAATAAAAGAATTGGAATATACAAAACAAGTGATGCACAATGCAATTGCTCACCACTTGCCGACAGATGCCCAGTTAGTTCCTGAGCAGCAATCCCCCCAGGCCAACTCCCTCCTGTTTATATACTGGGCACGATGTCACATGGTATGGAATATTCCTTTGGCCGGTTTGGGTCTGCTGTCCTGGCTGTGTCCCCTCCCAAATTCTTGTGCCCCTCCAGCCTTCTTGCTGGCTGGGCAGGAGAAGCTGAACAATCCTTGACTTGGTATAAACACTACTTAACAGCAACTGAAAACATCCGTGTGTTATCAACATTCTTCTCATACTGAACCCAAAACATAACACTATACCAGCTACTAGAAAGAAAATTATCTCTATCCCAGCCAAAACCAGGACAGTAGTGGATTATAATTGTTAGATTGACTTGTGATACAATATATGTCCTGAAATTGCTTTGTCTGTTGGTGTAAGTTTAGTATACAGTTCATACTCCAGCCCTTACCTGTCTGCTGCTGCTTCCCTCTTCTCCTACCAAGTCTGGCACTGCAAATGGCTATCCATAAAACATTATCAACATTGAAAAATACTACTTTATGAAATTGTCAGTTCTTGATATGATTGTCCATTCGGATTTCACTGTTAAATAGATTAATTTACAAAGGCACCATGTTCTGTCTGCGTAAAAATGTTTTAGACTTCAAAGCCACCTGTCTAGCATGAAAAGTGGCCGGTTTATCCAAAATCTTCAGAATTCCTACGTTGATGTAGTATAGTAATGTACTTTGTTAACAAGGCAAAAGCAAAGAAGGTCATATCAGGAGATAACACAGCTGTGAAAATAGTGACTTCAGCTTCAGATCATGACAGGTTACTCCACTTGTGCAGTTTTCAAGATGCTGTGGCAAATCTTCTCAGTAGAGCCTTCTTTGAAAACTGGTATGATCTTAAAAGACTTAAAAGACATTTTCTTTAAAGTGATGACAAAAATGGACTGTTTCCTGTGAGCTCTGAGTGTTTAGCACACTATGAGAAGAGGCACAAACTCAGATTTTTAATGCTTTACTTCCTTATCCTTTTGACATAGAGATTGGTGTACACTTTTCTGTCAGAACCCAGAGAAGAAACACCTTCATTCAATGTGATTTATAGAGATATTTAAAATTAACTTACAGATTAACTTTGGTCATTTAAACAAATTCTTACCTATTTGTAATATATATATATATGTCTTCTTTGAACACTTCAACAGTAGTACGTAATCTGAATTATGCTTGAAGGTTCTTAATTCGTAAATCTGCAGATTTGATGAGTAATCCAAAAGAATATCTTATTTTGACTTCTATTATTAGCTTTCTCTTCTGACTTAATTGTTTTAATTCAATAATGGCTTCAATGATTGTTATGAAGCAGTTTTGTTCACCTATGCAAAAAGATCCATCAGTATAAAAGCAGCAGAGTTGATAGGTCCCCTCTGAATCCTAAATGCAATATAATTGCCACATATTATCAAGTTGAGCTTCTGACGATATAAAGACTTGATTATTTTGTGTTTTTATTTCGGGGGGGGGGGGGGGGGGGAGAAAAAAATTCAAATATCCTCTTAAATAATACAGTCCAGACAGCCTTCAATGCCTGTTAGGGGATTATTGTATCTAAAACAGCTACATCATTTTCAGCTCACGCTTCTGCCTTTTGTTAACCAAAAAGAATCAGGGGGGTTGTGTAGGGGGGCATCAGAGGGTGAGTGACTCTTTCCTTTCACTGTGATTATTTTCTATTTCCACTTTGTTCCCAGGATCCTCCCACTTTTCATACTAGCAGATATGTAAAATAGTAGTGTAAAGTAGAATTCTCTACTTAAAACTTATATAATTTTGTGTTGGCAAAGAAATAGAGGAAACTGGGTCTTCCCTGCCTCATGGGAGAGGGAGAAGGTAAAAGTTTCAAAGTAGACACTACAAGTTAACAAGAATCAGATTGTGTCTGGACAGAGTGAGACAAAACCGTGGAAAATATATCTCTCGAGTAGAGTAACTGTTCTCTCAGCTGATTTGTTAACTGCTGCCTTCAGTTATGAAGCCTTTTCTCTCTTCAAGAGAAATAGGAAACAAGAGGTGTTGCAGATCCTTTTTATGGCAGTCAGGCAGAAAACACAAATTATATACCATTAAGAGCAGGTCCTACCTGCAGCAACTTGTGTACTGTGGTGCTACATAACCGGGATTTTCTGCAAGAATAAGTTTTACAAGGATAGCATAAGAATGAACATATCTATAATCCTTTTTCAGCTCTTTGTGATAATGACTGATTTTTCCCTTTTCAAAGACATTTTAAAAACACAGATCATTTTGATAGCAAATAATAGTTCAGTGGGGTTACGACTGAGCAATGTAACCTAACTTCAGAGATGGTCCTGCTTTGGGCAGGAGGGTTCGACTAGATTCCAACCTAAATTATTCCATGATTCTATTTTTGCTATCTTTTGTTCTCAGAATGGTTTGTATTTTACGTCTTTACTAGTAAAAACGCATCCCTTCTGCTAGTAACACAAAGAGATGGAGACAGGTTACAGAGATGTTAATTTTCAAGGTAATCCTGAAAAACCATGCCAGAATGTCAGAATCAGATGCCACCTTTGCCATCTGATATGAATTTTGGGCCATTTCTTAGACAGCAGAGATCCACATCACAAAATTGCTGCAATCTCTGGTACCCTGATTGACACTAAACAGGGATGCCAAAGATTTTAAATCCATAGATAATGAACAATGTTCTTGTTCATGGAAGTCATCATTCTGGATTAGATGCTTAAGCAGATTAGTATGTCTTTATGCTTAACTGACCTGTGCAGTATTTATATTGTGAGTATTTACAGTAAACACAGGATTTAAACATGGTGGAAGACCACCCTGACATCATTAATGAGCAAACACAGTATTTCAGCTGTTGGAGGGAACTATTTCAGTCAAGATATTTTGGTGAAGCATGATAATTGAGACTTACATTTCTAGAAATGTTTGATAAAAATGATGCAAAAAGAATTGCAATACAAAGAAATTATTGCAGAGACTTACCCTAAGCAGATGAGCGCTCTTGATTAGAATGAATCAGTTCAGTTTCTCATGGTTGCTTTTTACTGCTGGCTTCTATAACATGGAAAATATGATCTGTTGTTAACATATGTCAGATATCACTGTGTATGAATTTTTATCATTGACCACATAGCACTAATGATCTAGTGATAAAGTAGCACATTGGTTTGAACATATATCCCATTTCCTTCAAAATGTCAGTATCCAGCAGATGGCACCGCAGTTAAACTTTTGCTACAGGATAAATTGTTTCCTTGTACTTAATTTTCTGCACTCCAGATGATCAATGCTATTCCAAGATACTGAGAAAGATTTAACATCAAGAAATTAAGAAAATTAGATTGGTTCACTTAATCTACATTCTTCGTATAATTTAGTGCACTCCACAATGGATGAGTATATAAAATGTATGCACTGAAACTTACTTTTTATAGAAAGGAATGGGAGTAGTTGCTCTCATGAAAGTAATTGCTCTTATTCAGACAAATCAGCCCTTGGCTCCTTTAACAGAGGTTTCCCAGATGTTGAAACCAACATTGTATCAAACTACGCAAGCTTGTAATTTCTTTCCTATTAAGCAGAATATTAGAAGGGCTGTATATTTTTCTTCAAGGTATGAGTTGTACTTAGTCTTTTTCTCCACTCACAACAAATTGTTAAGGAATAAAATCACAGGAAGTCTTTAAATAAAAATAAAATTTAATATTTTAAGCCATTTAACTTTTAAATATATATCTGCAACAGTAACTCTCAGGACAGGTGTTCACATATTGCTTAATGGAACTATAATTATAGAAGTTTTATTGCCTGTATTCTGATATCTTTCAGTGGATTACCTGGCTCAGGCATTTGATTCCCTTCGCGTAGACTTGAAGACGGATGAAGGGAAGGCCTTATTTTTGGAATACCAATGTGTGCCTGTCATATTAAGTCACTTCAAAGTATCCAGTAGAGGTCTGCTTTCCAGTGCTCTTGATGGATTACTTCAGATGACCACAGAATCTGGTAAATTTGAGTTATTAAAAAAATAAATATAAAATCATTATGAAAACAGGTGAGACAAGCATAAGTACAATGTAAAAATAGCATGACTCTTCTGTGTAAATAATCTAATCTAGTATTAGCATTCATCTGTATCATGTAAATTCATTAGGGACATAAAACATATTTCTGAATTGTCTGGCTCTTTCTGAGTTGTCTTGTCTTTTCTTCTCCCTCTCAGCACCTGTGCTTTATATTTTGTCCTGGTTGCTTGCTTGCTTATTGATATGAATTTTTTTGTTGCTCTTTTGGGTTTGGCTTTTCAGTTTATTCCAGTGTTGTAGCTTGCTGATGTTTTTCTTTGAAGTCAAGCTGTGCTAGGGAAGCCATATCATGAAAACCTGCCAGCAGGTGGAGATAAGAAATAGGCTTTATTTAAGTTCTTCTTCTAGTTTGAATGAACAGCTCATCCCCAATAATTTTCAGTTTCTAATAATTGGAAATGGCATTTCTAGAAGAGATGGTTATGTTTTGCTGAGTTTTAAGGTGCTGTGGCCCTATAGAAAGCTTAATAATCTCATTTGTCACAGTGCTTTTCCAAGTGATACAAGCGAAGAATCAGTTGATAACCAACTGGATGAACATGAAGGTAGTGAGGCATTCCAGTGCCATGTTGAATAAATCTTGTGACTGGTTTTGTTTTTTTTTAAGATAAAAATCACTCGCTGCCTCTTAGAACAGAAAAGTTCAGGAAGGGGCTGCTGCTATTTTTGAAATGTGTATTGTTATTTTGGAGGTATTTTGTTACTATGCATTGTAGTGGTAAAAATTGAAATTGTGTTTGACTTGGGATGGAACAGCATTGAGTTAAAAGCCATTTTGTAGCGACGTAAGTGGCAGAAATATTTAACTGAAGTTTTATTCTTCCTTGCAGAATCTTTTTCTGACCATGTAGTTAGTACAGTCTTACACTAAAGTATTCTTCCTAATAGTCATAACTATGATTGGTAAAGGGATTGGGAAAGAAATAGTTGTATGCACAAAAGTAACCTAAGCAAGGTGGATGGTGTCTGGTATTACTTTGGGTAATGCCAATAGCAGTACATGTTCTGCTACCTAGCAGTAGTCTTTCTGATACACTAGATGCCTGCAGTTTGAAGAATAATGGCGATATATTGTGAGACACTCACAGTTTGCTGTGTTGCTTCTCAGAGAAGATGTATATACGTGTGAAATCAGGGAAGGAGGAGTAACATTTAATTGAACTGACATAGAATTTATTTCTTGGCAACTGGATATAAAGCCTTATGCAGAGCTTTTCTCTTTGGTAGAATGAAGTGCCAATACACAAGTTATAGGCATGTTCTGCTCTTTTCCAATACATAGTGTTTTGCAAGAAATTGTTAACAATGTGAAGTAGTATTGTTGATGGGAAATCGTATTCTCATTCCTTTGTAAGTTTCCTATTAAAAAGTCATTAAAAGACAAACTAGAAGGCGGCAGTGAATATTCAGAGGGCTCTCTGTATTAGATTAAAACACGAATTTATGCTCAATTTAAAGCTGTGTTGGCGTGCTGCCTTAAATATGAAGTCATAGGTAGCTGACCATATACTAAAATATGGAATCATAGTACCCAAAAAGACAGCATCTGACCAACGGGAAGCAAAGTCTAGACTTTTTTTTTTTTTCCTGTAAGATATGCAATCCTAGGCATTCTTTCAACATGCTGCAATAATTTTCTGACTCTATAGGAGTATTCCAATATTTTTTGTTCAAAAATACTACCTTTAGAGCTGAAGTGATTAGAAATTAAGTTGGAAAAAAAGTCAGTGGTTTATTTTTTTCTAGATATTCTTTTCTATAACATATTTTTTTAAGTTTTAATTTTTTTGTGAAATATTTTTACAGATTCAGATTTTAGTTGTCCAGGCTGAAAGATGTGAATCAGATGTGAAATAACTACTATGTTGCACTACTCCTCCCTGTAACTGCATGTACCTTTTGTTATAGTAAGCAATGAATGCTAATGGTTTTGTACAGTCCAGTCCTGTCTGAGGTCCTCATGTGGGTTCTCTTCCCTGTAAGAAATTATCTTCCTCGTGTTCCAGAAATGAAACCTAGATTTCTCTCATATGTTAAGGAAAATTACTTAAGCTGCATATGAAGTAAGTACCTACTAGTCTAAGATGGATATTTCTGTTCATAGAAATTATAATGAGAGAGTCTGCAGTACTGCTTAAGCCCATTGACTGATTTGGTTTTGGTATGCTCATTTTCAGATTTTAGATCAGTATCATTGCTTTTGGCTTCATAGTATATCTGGTACAACGGGTCCAGGATCCAAGTTTCCATTGCATGTTCATACAACATTGACAGTGCTGATAAGGCATTCAGTTACTGAAAACATGATGTCAAATGCAACAGTTGAGGCACTGGTATCATCTGTTTTCTATCTATGTACAAGACCTTAATGGCAAATTAAAATTAATAGTCTTACTGCAGTGCATCTTACTGGCACACAGCCTTTCATGCACTCCCTCTCCATTCCTGTTCAGGAGTTTCACATCAGGAATCTGGGAGAATCCTGACACCACCATTTCAGTAGGAGATGGTGGAGGACTGAAAGGTAACATTCCTCAGTACTTTTTTTCTCTGTCTACCTGTGATTTCATGATTATATGTTCGTCAGTTCTGGCCAACTCAGGATATGCATTCATACGCAATATCTTCTACTGTTCTGATTGTTGCCTTCTTCTGCTACATCTTTTTTTCACAAGGAGGAGAATGATCAGCAGGCAGAGGTGGAGGAATAATTAATTCTAGAGTGATTTAGTTGTCTGAGAAAGCTTGCTAGATCATAAGGTGGTCCAGAGGATGGCTTCAGGGCATTTCAGAACTTGAAAAAAATGCATGAAGTTGAGATTCTTCAGTTCCTCCTGGAAACCGTGGCCAGAAAGCCAAATAGTGTGTTAAATGTTCTGTACTCTTTTTTGCCTGGTAGGCTGGGAATAACGTTTAACACAGAATTTTTTCACAATAAAACTGCAGCATCATTTTTTGGCACTTCAGAGATGCCATCATTCTTTCTAGGGCTTTCTTTGCACTAGTCAGCATCTCATGGCTATTATTTGGGAAAGATTAAAGCAATAAGGATCACTTAAAATAAGTCTAGTTAAAAAAAAAAGAAAAGAAAAAGGACAGTAAACCAGGATTTGTTTGGCAAGATCTCCTTTTCTGTCATTCTCTAAATGTGTGTTGACGCTCACCATTTGCTCCTGTCAAGGTAAGGCTAACTTTAATAAAAAAAGACTCTTACAGAGCAGTGGGAAGAAGTAAAATCTATATGGTGAGAGGCAGCTGACAGGCAAAATCTCTGTGTATCATGCCGCCTTGTATGCAATATGCCCACACATGTTTCTGGATGTTTGGGCACATCCATGCCCTTAAGACTGTGGCTGATGAAGATAACTGTCAGGGTTGGAGTTCAAGCCATAAAAAATACTTTGTTTAAAGATCAGTACCCCTTCAATTCAAAGGCTAATGAAACTCTTTGCTCATTGATAATTTGGAGCTCCTCTGTGTTTTCAGTGAGCTTATGCATTCCAGTCTGAAGGAAGAAGCAGATGTCAGTTTTTTGCACTGCACAGCTCAGTTGTGTGAAGTACAAAGGAAAAAGCATAGGTTACTACACCAAAGACCCCTACATGACTTCTAGTGACAGACTTTCTTTCAGGAAACCTCACTTGGAATCCTCAGGTCTAATGAGAGCAAGAAAGTGTGAGCAGTGAATATTACAGATCGTTTCAGTGAATAACCTTCTCTGATAGTATTGTCACAGAAAGTAGGTATAGTTTCTTGATAAACTCTGAATGAGCTCTGTGATGGATTTCCACTCTTGCATTACTTTTCCCATCCATGCCTTCATGACAGGATACTGTTGAAGCGATATCTGAATGTGTACTTAGAATAGTGGAAAATGTAACCGTAGAAATCAGGGATTAGGCATTTCATACCTACTCCAAAGACAAAAGGGGAGTATCAGCTTATTTTGACCCCCTTCGTGTCACCAGGTTTATCCATTTGCATTCTTAGTGGTAAAACCATTTTTCATAATTTCCTCATTAGAGCCATAAGATTGGGTTATCAGCCTTCAAGGTGGTCTTTTTGGTTTGTCTCTTAATATTACTTCAGATTCCAGGTTGGAACATTTTTGGTCACTACTAGGATCAGGGTTTACTCTTTAATCTTTTTGATTCCAAATTAGTGAAAGCTTACCATATTCCACAGGAATGATGCCAGTCTAGTAGATCTCTTAAACCAGCTGCAAGCTCATTTAAAACTATTTAAAAAAAAAACCTAAAAAATGCTTGAGGTCCACAGCTTCATGAAAAATTTGTCTGAGTTGACATGTATTCTGTACAAGAGTGGGCAATACCAGTGTACCTGTCCAGCTAGGCCACAGAAACACGGTGGTCTTAACACCACAGGAATTCTGTGAAAAAAAATTATTAAGAATTTTGGTACCCTTAGGAAGCTTATTTGTGTACGTTTCTTGAAACTTAGTTGCATCATCATACCATACAAAACTCCAGAGCCCACGTTGTAGTATGCAATACAGTCACATTATTTCTTGGAAGGATTCAAGTTATGTGTGTTTATCAAATTGGAATCTCAAATCGCATACATGTCACCAGACTACATTATGTTTTAGGTATCAGAACTTGGATAGTATTCCAGCTGCACTGGCATTTCCCAGACATCAGTGAGTTTTCATGCCATTGTATAATTCTGAAGTATGCTGCCAGCCAAAAATCATCTCACCATTTTGTCCCAGTCATTAATGTTTTTGGAACTGTAACAGTATGTCAAGGATACAGAATATATCTATATATGCCAATCTTGTTTGCCTCACCTCTTTTACAAAGATGTTGAAGCCTAAAGAGGAGGGTAAAATGTTATACTGATTACTGTTCTTTTAATATACAAAAACATTCCTAGTGGGAACAAAGGCTACTTTTAATG